CCCATTACAAAGTGGGCAAAAGATATGAACAGACACTTCTCAAAGGAAGATATCCGAGCAGCCAACAGATACATGGAGAAATGTTCAACCTCACTAATCATCAAGGAGATGCAAATCAAAACCACACTGAGATACCACCTAACCCCAGTCAGAATGGCAATTATCAATAACTCGAAAAATAACAGTTGCTGGAGAGGATGTGGTGAAAAGGGAACACTTCTACACTGTTAGTGGGAGTGCAAACTAGTGCAGCCTCTGTAGAAAACAGTGTGGCAATTCCTAAAAGCTCTAAATATCGACCTCCCATAGGACCCTGCAATTCCCCTCCTGGGAATATTCCAGGAGGAATGCAAATAACTCACTCCCAGTATTTTCTTCCTAGGGAGGATTTGTTGATTTAAAAAAAAAAGAAAGTATAGATGGAGTGGAAAAGCACCTTGGGTTAAAAAACACCTAAGATGACCTAAGATGAGTTAAAGTCAGTTGATGATACAGCTGCCAGGGTCTCTTGGCCAAGGGAGTTCATGAGTCTTTCTTCCATTCTCCACCCAAATACGCAGGCTATACTGACTCTCACTGGCTTTCCTCTTCATGATCTCTGTCTCTCCTTTTAACTCAGATTTTACAAACTTTTCCTGCCTTTCTCGCACAAATCATGTCCACAATTTTGTGGTGGTGGTTCTCAAACTACCATTTGCCATAATAGTCACAAAATAATGGCTCCTTGGGTTGAGTGCATCTGGTTTTGCCAATTTTTCCATTTTAAATAACTTAGCTCTGAGTCTGGCAGCCTCAAATAAGAATTCTTTATTTTTTAATGATCTTCAGAGAGCACTGGCTCACAGTTTTTGATTCTAGTTCATATTTTGTTACCCATCTCTTTCCCTTTCACCACCATGCTGTCAGATTTCCCTCATCAACCTCACATCTTTTGGTTTGTTTACTAATGACTTATGCACAATTCAAGTCAGTAGGAAGCAGATGTGAATAAGTAAGTGTAGAAGCTTAGTGCCTTTATGGATAAGATTAGATGTTTAACAAGTTTGCAATTGACAAATTCAGTATCTTATGAGTCAATTGTTATCTACCTCAGTGTCCAGTACACAGTAGATATTCAACACAAGTTTGTTGAATGAATGAAAAAATGAGTAGTATATGCATGGGCAAAAGTTCCAATGTGTTAAATATCCTCGCAGCCATAGCTGCTTAGTAGAATACTACATTTTTAAATCATTGTGGTAGTATACACATAACATAAAATCTACCATCTTAATTGTGTTTAAGTGTTCAATTCAGTAGTGTTAAATATATACGCATTGTTGCACAAC